TATCTTTGCTACATGTTGCACACATGCTGCATAAATGTGGTGTTGTCGGTGGCATACTTAAAAAATAAACGTTACTTGAACACACACACCACACACATGGCCACACTCAACAAAAACCCTCCATTTCCCACACAAAAATGCGAATGCTTTTACAAGACAACAATAAAATTTAGTTTTAAAATTCACATAAGTACCCAATTTAGTATAAACGTAAAAAATAATAGAACATCTAAAGCACGAGAAGCAAAAAAACAGCGAGAAGCAGAAAAAAGTACCGAATATGAATAAAGAATGTAGCGGAAAACCATGCTTAGAAAGCACAAAAGCATTGCAGATGCAGCTACTCAAAATGCAATAACGTTTTAATGGACCGTCGTTTTCTTCTCGAAATTGATAATGTCAAAAATATAAAAAAATAATGCATAATAAGGTCAACTGCAACAATTGCAATGTGCTTTGTGGAAACTGTACTTTTTTTAACATTGAATTCAAATGGAAGATGGGTAAACCACAGGTTACAAAAAGTAACATAGCACAGATTGTGTTCTAAAAATTAAAAAAAAGAAGTAAGCAACTAAAGACGTTAAACATTAAACGGCTTTGAAAATTTTTGAAGTAAAATCCTAATATGGATATTTAGCTTGCAGAATTTTGCACTTCCTTAAGCAACATAATTTTTTTTTTAATATCCATCAATTAGATATATTTTATTCAGACTTTTCCTCTTTTCCCTATCATACTTGCGAGACTGTCCTCCTTTACTTACTCTGAATTTTCACTCTCCGAGTAATTATTATTATATACAAAGTTGCATAGGTCGAAGATGATAATTTTTCAAGATTTCGAATCATGTAACAACATGAAGGTCATATGAATCTCTTGAAGAACATATACCTATATATTTGATCAAAATAGAGTTTGCAGAGTTTTCACATTCACAAAAGTGTGTATTATATTTCGAATAATTGGTATTGAAATATGGTTTATGTCGAACCAGGCTAAGATAGAGCCCCACATTATAACCCTTCAAAATTTCGAGTATTGAAGTGTATGATTAAAAAGGTATTGGGTATATGATTAATATTTTATATATCGTAATATAATACAACCTTCCGATTTATAGTATTAACCAACCAAATGGCCAGCCATGTAAAGATCGGGATCTTCATAGGACATAAACACTCCCTTCTGAAAATTCCAAATTATGTACGCAATTTTGTATGCCTCACACATAGAGAAACTTCATGATTTTCACTATTTTAAGGCTTTTATTTGACATTTAAAACAGAATTAAAAAATACTTTAATTCGGCAATTTATTTTATTTTTAATTTATTCTTTAATTTAGGATTTCGTTGGATGAAAATTCTACAATTTGACATAAGACCATATAGCGGATCTGACCAATTTTAGATGTTTTAAAGCTCCATATCATAGTGTGTACCTAAAGTAGCTGACATTGTGATGTCTTAAGTATTCTAATTGTCGATTTAGGTTCCAAAATTATGGTATTGGGTCAGGCTTAATTTAACGAGCTTTTTACTAGTTGGATGGATGGTGGATGGTCTTACCTTTCATCGAACGTATTTCGTATTTCTAAACGAAAGGTTCTCTGTACTATTTTTCATCCATAACTTTTGAATGTTTTTTATTTCCTTTAGTAAAAGTGTTTTATTTTGCTGAATATGCCTGCCATTGCAGATCAAGTGTGCGTATGAGTTACACAACACAATTACCTTTAATAACTCTCATACGCAGGGGTGTACACAAACCACTATTCTCACTCTCCCATTTGCGAGATGACTTGCATGTACACTAAACATGACAAGAGACTATTACAACAACCACAATGCTATCAAAACTATTTGTGTACATAATTCGAGTATGACTATATCGTTTGTTTATGTAAATTTATTGTTTTAATTATTGTTTTATTAAAATTTATAGCTTGTCTCGAGTGCAGACATCAACTGCAGTCCGCATCGATGTACAAAACACTCGTAGATGTGTACACTTGAGTGTGTGTGTGTTGGGAGAAATATGTATCGAAAATTTGTGTACTCGAATATTGCAGAAGGGAAATTAAAACATTTCTATGATACTTAAACTTGTGCGTAAGTTTCCCTTGCCAGTCTATCTCTCCGAGTGTGTGTGTATGCGTCTGTCCGACCAACCAACTGTCTTTGAGTTGTAATGTTTGTTGTCTTTAATGAAAATTGTAAATATTGGTTATTCGTCTTCAAAATATCCATGCTCAATAAATGGAAATTGAAAACTATAAATTCTGAATATGTATTTTGCAACTGTGACCGAATCAAGTGTGTGCAAACACACGTTCGCACTCACATGCACACACACACACGCTCGGACAATTTGCTGTGTGCGTGCAAAACTAGAAAAAGTAATTTCAGTTTTGTTGACTTAACTAATAACTGTTTAGATTATAGATAAGAGAACTTTAGTTATGATTTGCTTTTTTGTTGCTCTTGGTTGAAAAAAAAAAAATGTGTCTGTCATGTTTGGTTTTAATTTGATGCCAATTAAATATTAAAAACTCAACAATGCCCAATGACAATCACAAAACAATGGCATTTGTAAAAGCCATTGTCTCTAAATGTCAGTTTATTAAAATACTTGCAGTTGCAATTCAAAATTAAATAAACATTGGCAAAAAAGGATTATTAAGCAATCAATCACTCGCCTACATACATAAAACATGGCTACAGGGTCGTTCGTCAATTGTGCCATGATAAAAAATGAAAGCAAATCGAAAATAAAAAAAATATATAAAAATATTTTCACCTTATTACCAGGAAATTTAATTTAATACGAATTCAAAAATTAAAGTGTTTTAAAATTCCTCACAAAAGATCATGTGTTACCGCTCAAAGTGAATATTTCGGATTTCAAATAATTTTAATTACATAGAATCTCCTCAAGAATGTTGCGAGAAATTCCAATGGTATACACTTAAGGATTTCCATGCATGAAATTATCGTTGAAATATAACCATTTTGCTTTAACGTTTTGCTGGCATTCATACATTCCCATTTGCGTATTTACACGCATTCAAACTTTGTAAGCCATGAATTAAAAATGTTGTTACATGTCTTCAAGTAATTTTTGATGTGATATGCACAATTTCTATGCAATAAAAGTCCTCATAACACATTAAACGAGGGTCGATTTGGCAGTCATGGGAAAGGAGCTTTTATTGGCATTTGGAATGTATATTTGTGATGTATAGTACAAACTTTTATCTATGATTTCTCTTCCTTGTATTTTGATACCTTCCGCCACATCTCCTCCTCCACAAATAGTTAAATTTTTTAATAATTATAGATCCCACAAAATGTGAAATTATCTTAAAATTTCGCTCAACTCAATATTTCTATCAACTATAGATCTAGTATGGTACTACCTCCAAAATAAGTCAACATTTTAAATAACAAAAAATAATTTATGTATAGGTAATAAATGCAAAATTAGCATTTCATTCATTCCAAACTTGGCTCATTCAAACGTGTTAAAATTATAAATTTGATAAACTGAAAAATAAATCGCCGATATTTCTTTTAACTTCGCACTTCCACCAGCACTAGGTATAGTATGAATATGTGAATATATTAAATATACAAAGGCTATAAACGGTCGGGGCTGACCATTTGATCAAAATCATTCCAAGTAGTTTATGCAAATATTAATAAATATCTGAATTTTTGACCGGAGTCTGACATAATTTAAAATGTCGTGGCAATTATCCTATATACACGCCATCTGCCGTTGTAAAGGAAATCTTAACAATGTTGGAAAGTTTAGATTATTGAATCTATTTATTTAGCTAGTGAGCAAGCTTCTAACATGTCCTAAACTCTAACCTCATTTAAAATTCATTCCTTGCATTTATTTTGCCATTTTCTTCAATAATTATAGATTTCTATTTTGACGTGATGTAAAATTTCGTGAGATTGGACTAATACATGGACGGTCAAACATAGCAAGATAAACTAGCAACTGGGCCGTAAAGGCAAAAGTGTTAAATAATCCCAAATCCTTTGTAAATCGAAGGTTATATCTCTATGCAGGCAATCCATTTCTGTATGATTTGTTCGATTCAACCATACACTAATATATATGTCATACTCGGAACAGTCTTTCATAGTTTAAAACTATTCATGTGTCTCAAAGGGTACTCAAAGGTCCCTTGCAATAACTGCCCATCAGACTGCATGTTAAATAACTATGTCTGCTTGGTTTATTCTCTTATCTGAATAACAAACACGATCCCATTGTAAATCACTCAGCTGTAAACCCTGAGAGGGCATTCCTCTCAGAGATAAATAACACTCTCTTTCATCACATAAGTTTTGGACCCTTGATTTCTCAACAACTTCCATGCGACGAACGCACCTCGTATCAATCCAACAAACATACCCACATACATATTTAATATTCTGTTAAGCAAATATGAAATGTTGAGTACTTAGGAAAGCTAGAAATTGTTACCGAAATTTCCCTACAACAAAACGAGCACACAGATGTATTGTTAAATACTTTTACGTGTATGGAGGAGCATTGTATAGATATGCACATGTGTGTATGTGCCGCATTGTAGGTTTGCCAGTTCTTCTTGAGTGAGCGAAGAAGTATTGTATGCGATACTTAAATGTATGATTGTCGAAGTTTCTTTCAAATGTTTATACTTTGCCGTATTTGGATACTTTAGACAGCCAACATATGTGAGGCAGAAAGAGTGTGTGTATGTGTGTGTGATTGTGTCATGCTTTACTACATGTGAAAAAGATATGTAAACGGGTGTCCTTCAATGAGCGTGAATGCGTGTATGTGGCACAATATTTCCGTGTGTGTGTGTGATAGACGACTGTGTATTGAAGTTTTGTTACAGCGAAACTGGTTTCATTTTCTGCTTGAATTACAAATTGTTACATCAAAAGTTTTGCCGCTACTTCTTCAATACTTGTTTGTTTTTTTCCCTTTCAGTGCGAGAATGCTGGCTGCTATGCAAGCAGGCGGGCGGGGTGGCGGATGGATGGCCGGAGAATGTTACGGAAAAAAGTATTTGTGTGCGGTTTTATTTGTTTGGTTGGAAGACTTCCCTTTATCAGCAGCGTAGTCGAGTTGAATACCCACATATTGCGCGAATATTTACTGCAGCTTGTTAACATCACAATACATGGGTTTTGGTGTTGAGCCTCTCTCTCTCCCCCTTCCCACCCAGGACCGGTGGCGCGTAATTTGGCCATGGTGAAAATCTTCAGAGGAAATACCAATTTTTCGGCAATATGCTGCTTGTTTGCGCTAAAAATTGAAATGCGGGTGCGTTTTTTGTGTGAGTTTGCATTGTTTGCAAAATTTCTTGGAATGTAAACAAATTTTTGTGAATATTTACGACATATGCAAAATATTCTCACAGGATATGGCACTTCAGCCAGCCAGCCAGTCAGCCACCCAGTCAGTCAATCAGTCAGTCGAAAGTGAATGTTTTCACAGACAGTGATACCAAACTGTTGTGGAAAGTTGCAATAAATTTCCTATTCCAGTGAAAAGAAACACAAAACAAAATTGATTCAAAATCAACAAGAATTAAACATACATGCATGGCTTTCATTTGAAATAATCAAAAAATATTTTTCCATAATTGGACAATGCAAATAATGTTGCCGATTTTTCTTTTTTCTTGTTTCAACATGAATATTTCAAGCCACCAAACGCTTTAATATTTCAGCTGCTTTCTCTGGCCAAAGCATACACATCTGCTGTGTCATAGATCCGAATGTTGGGCTGTTAGTTTTGAGTGGGGTTTTTTGTTTAATTTGCAGCTGCTTGAAAATTAATGCAAAATAACTGCATGACCTCCTCACAGACTTGTACATTATCATATTCACAACTTTCTATTTGCTCGAGTTTTTTGAAATGCTTTTTGTTCCTATTTCAAGCATCTTTTTACATATTCAGCATTTTAGTAAAGTTTAGTTGCCGTTGTTGTAGTGGAATAATGTTTTAAGTTGTTGTTGCTGCTGCTCTCCAGCTACTGGTTAAATGAAAGTGACCGAGAAGCGGTTAACAGCGGGCATGACTTGGAAGGATTCTTGTTGTCCATAAACTGAATTATTCAAATAGCTTATAATTATTTAAAAGCGTGCATTAATTAAAGTTTGCTTAAATGAAAACAGTTGGCTGGCAGGCTAGCTGTAGTTCTGTGCTATCACTTTCTTTAACTCGTTACATCTTCTTCCGGCAGTTGGCCTGTATTTGGAAACGCACTCTATGCAGTTGATAGGTTACTGAAAAACCGATTAGCTTTTGCCAAATGAATCTAGAGAAAGGCATTTGGGGTATTGGTATTAAGAGTATATATGTTATTGCAAAATGGTCAGGCTTATCCCTTTATTGTTGTTTTTATAAAAACAACGTTTGTTTATTAGTGGAGAACGATGGTAATGTTTACCAGGGGGTAAGGCAGGGAATACCTAGGTTTCGGAAAGAGCCACCAATCACGGTCGATGAAGGGGTTTTTGTTGTAACAGACAAAACCAATTTACATGGTTATGCTACTTCGTTTCAGGTTGAACGAAAACATAACAAGTGGAGAAAGATGGAAATGTTTATAAGTGCGGTTGTAAGATTTAGAAGACTTTCCGAAAGAATTTTGGTTTTATTTAATTCTTTGGTTCCTCTTCTATTGAGCTTACGATCTCGTCACTTGGGTAAAAAAATGTTTTTTGTCATAGAAGTTATTTTTAAATAACTTCTGGGGAGAATATCCCAGACAAAAAAACAAGGGAACTGATGAGGATTGGTGGCTCTTTCCGAAACCTAGGTATTCCCTGCCTTACCCCCTGGTAAACATTACCATCGTTCTCCACTAATAAACAAACGTTGTTTTTATAAAAACAACAATAAAGGAATAAGCCTGACCATTTTGCAATAACAAAATACTACGGTATCCCGAACAAACAATCCACACTGTTCTAAGAGTATATATATATAGATATATTAGTTACTGGAGTGGTGTAAACTTAACAAAATCTAAGGAGAGGATAGTAAAATAGGAAGAAGGGAAGATCATGTTGTCTATGTATTACATTTCCTTGTGGATCAAACATGAATTATTCATACCACCGATTCTCTTATATATCAAGTATAGACAGTCCATTACAAGAAGCAAAAATTGTTTTTAGAATATCCTATTAAGTGGGCTTTAATTTTATATATGGGTCCTTAATAGGATAGTTTTCTCCTCACAAATAAATGGCATAATATTCCTATTATTTGGTAAAGTCTATAGCTCTTGATTCAATATATTTTAAAGGTTCCTAATGAACTTCCATACAAAAGTATCTTTTTAGTTGACAATTAAGGCCCTCAGAGTACAGAAACCCTTCCTGCAGGATATTTTGTGTTCTCGTTAAATGAAAAATTAAAATATGAGCCATTTTTAGTATTGACGCTATATAGAAGGACTGAAGGCTGAGGCTGAATTTGGAGATACTGGTTGGTGTTGGAACAATACCTATGTAACAAAATTGCATTTAGTTTGAAGGTCCTACCTGAGGTTTTCAACTGAAATAGCTGCGTTGTGGTATTTTCTGTAGATAAAGTCCAGGAAACGATAGCTGTATTTTACTGGTTTTGTCAACTGATTTGACTTTAATTTAAGTTTTGGTCCCGACTGTATTAGAGATAATTTTTACCGTTTTTATTCAAATATTATGATAGATCTCCTAACTGACCATGATATATTCTGGAATATCTACTTCTTGTAACTAATCCACTCTTTGGCAAAACCGAGTATATCGGTTCAACAATGCCTTGCTGCAGTTACGGTTCTCGTTTCTCTACTGCTTCCCTGCTGGTCTCTTGACATCGTGGCAGTGGCATAGCATCATGACTACTAAAGTACTTTTTCATGCTCTTTCATTAATTTTGTAATGTATACTCATAATGGAGCTGAATGTAAAACTTACAGGGACGAAGAACTAATAAAAAAAAACGCTAACTGGCAAAGAATGCAAAGATGAAAAAGAGAATGGATATGCCAAAAGAGGCCAAGGGGCTAAATGCCAAGCTAATTTCATGTTAAAATAAACTGAAAAATGTAGTAGTCAAGTTTGCTATCACTGCTATGTGCAACAACAACAACAACAAGAGCAGTAGCAGAAACAACAACAAAACGCTGGAAGTTGAAAACAAATTTCGTCAATTTAACACCTTCATTAATAATTGAGAGGTATTTAAATATTACCCAACATATCCATATACCATGGACTGACTGACGAACTGTCTATGATACACATACAAACACATCCACACATTGACACACAAGTGCATAAACGAAATTGTTAATAATTTATGTTCTGCACATCATCCGACTATTCGCTAAGCAGATCCTCCACTACATGCATTCTGATGGCAAGCTGGCACACAGGCTACAGCATGTGTCTCGTAGCAATTATACATTTCTGTCGCATCCGTTCTAACTAGCAGCTAACTAACTAACCAACCAGCTAAGACAGTTAATTTTTTGCCTCCGCCTTTGATGTTTAATTGACTATTTTATGCGCTGTGGCGTATGTTTTGAATATCGCTTCGGGCTAAGTATTCCTTTCGCTCATAAATATTTATGAGTCATTTGTTGCTTGAAACTATATTTGGGCGGCTGTATGTGCGTGTGTATGTGGGAGTGGGTGTGTATGTTTGTGTCTGTGCATGCGACTGTGTTGGAATTATTAAAATTTGGCTCCTTCGGCAATCACTTTAGCTGGCCATATTCTTGTCGGCTCCTTTTGCAAAACAATTTAAGCCCAAAAGTCTTGTCAACATTTCAAGGGGACTTGAGTGAAATATTTTCCAAATAAATTCACAATAATTTGCATATTTATGCACTGAAATGTGAAAAATATTATTATCAACTTTGGAAGCGATGACAAAAAGTTAACAAATGTTGTAATTCCATCAATACGCTACGGGGAAATAGTTGGTGTTTATTGGCAAAGAAGCAATGAGGACAACATTTCGGAGTCAGTTATTCCAAATTTACACTAGGCAAGAGTAATTTCCCAGTTGTCAGTTTTTTGCAAGAGTTTGCTGATAAGTGGGGGATCTCCATTTCCTTACCTCTCTCACCCACAAAATACATACATTCGGCAATTGTAATTACCTAAGTTAGTGAATTGAAGAATTGAATTGAAGTTTTTGGGAATGATTAAGGAAAAATAGAGTTTTCCTCTTTTGGAAGATCTGATTCAGATCCCAGTTCTCAGAAAAAAATCCAACTTCTTCTGTAGCATACCTCAGAATTTACCAAATTCTCCATTACAAATGGCTTCCTTCTACATGCTCTCGATTTCTTTTTTCAATGTGGCCCTCCTCAATTTGTGTCTCCCATGTCTCTGGGGACATTAAGCATATTTGTTCCAACAAAAGTATAAACATTTTAATTTTAAATGTGTTGCCCATTGTGCGACAAAAGTCAAGAAAATTTATTCCGACCAAAAATCCACAAAAAAAGAGACGTGTTTAAGATGTAGAACGGAAACAACGAAAACTTTTTCAGACTTGAACAAATTACTTTGTCACTCGGTGGCTGTTAAATACACGGAAGTTTGGATTTGTCGTTGGCGCTCTGCTGCTCTGTTCAGTATTAGTTGATGACAGCTTCCATAATGGAAGAGGAGGTACTGACCGGGATGGGAGGGGCAGGCGATGTTGACGATGCTGATACGAAATGATATGTTGACCATGCTGAGAATGTTTTTCTGATTTTATGAGCGATACAAAGAGGAAGTGCAGCAAAACACCCTCGCCGCAAGATGTGTCCAAACAACAGCAGAAGCAGCATCAGCACCAGCAAAAACGGCTAAAATTGAGTTTACACTATGCGTTTATTTAACGAGAGACGGATCCGCTTTGTCCTCGGTGTGTTGTTTAATAAACATTCTGTCATTGTCACCATCAACGCCATCATCATCACGAGGATGATGAGCTGCGTCGCCAGTGACAGTGGGTAATGGTGTTGTTTTTGTTGAGCATCATTTTGTGGGTGATGGTAATGCGGTCTGTCTGTGCTCTTCTTTTTGTTTTGGTTTTGCCTTGTCGGCCTATGTTGAGCTAAATGCTTGTTAGAAGGTCGTTGCAGTAAAACAAGTGTCTCCCGGTATCTTCCAACTGTCTGTTCGGTCACAGTGATGATTGACAGAATCATTTGCCTGCTGGCGAAACGCACTCGAGTGTCAAGTCGGTGGATTTTTTGTTTTGTTGCATTCTCCTTTGTTTGGCCATGTTTTGCATTAATTTTATTTCCATCTCCTGTAGGGTTTCCATTTGTTGTATTGTATTTACAATATTTCAGAAATAGAGGAAGTAAATGTTGTGGCTGTGTCAGTCCGTCTGTGTTCTGTGTTCTGCGGCTGCAGCCGAGAAAAAGCCATCAACGGCATTCTTACTATCTCCTTCAACAACAACCAAAAAACACGGCATCAACATCTTGTAAAGCATTGCGGATAACTTGGCTAACAGCCACAACTCAAGTTGTTAGTAGAGAGAGCAGGCGAGAAGTGACTGGTGTTCTGCTGATTTTAGGTTCCTACTTC